AATTCAAAAATTTTTTCGCAGAACTATTTCAAATAATAAGTAGATTCGTTCTAGCGAAAAAAAAATTTGGCGGTTAGGTGCACTTTAAAAACACACGCATGCATGATTATGCCTAGTGTGTGAACCATATGTTCAGTAGAAAGGGTTATTTCATTCCCTTGCATGAAACACGAATTTATCCTTGAGTAAGCACGAAACAGTAAATTCCTCACTAATAGACAAATTCGGCTAACTCACGCGCGAGTGTTACGTGACTTGAATTGGGTACAACAGCAATCAAAAGAAGTACGTTCGTATTGTCATTTAGAGAAAAATAAGCCACGATTCCGCAGTTTTGTTGCACCGGAGACTGTCAGAACAGCTCCGCTAACCGAAAAGATCTCTCGTTTCACGGGTTTCCGTTAAATTTTAAAAGCGTCCTCTCTGTTTGCATCGTGAAAATGTTAGGTTAATTTTAAACTACGTTTCTGCGTGGTGTAACCCAGGTTTGTGGTCTCTTATCAGTACCATGCATTGGCTTTTTCGTGAAATGTGTCAGTCATCACGGTCTGTGTGTGAAATGTTGTTCACTGTGGCACAAACAAGTGCATAATCTTGTACTGAACATGGCGAGTGGTAACAACAGTATGAAACAGTTGTATTAGTTAATGAGTTGTTATGTTTTTCCTAACCAGCACCTAGTATCCCCACGTCGCTCACTTATAGTGTGCAAGACCAAGACAAGTCACATGGTCCAAGAATTAACTTGACCTGGTCGATACCTGCAAAACCAAATGGAGTCATTAGAAGTTACACTGTGTTTTACTGTTACAATGGAAATTCGCAAAAAGAGATCTCTGGAATAGATGCATTGAGTTACTCAGTTGATGTACTGGGTGGTGCCACCTACCAGTTCCATGTCAGAGCTGTGACTATCAAACCTGGACCAAATGCTACTTTAACCGTAGCTGTCCCTGAGTATGGTAGGAAGACTTCCACTCAAAGTACAATTCGATCAGCATTTTAGATGAACAAGTAAATTTGTAATTGACTTACATTTACAGGTCACAATACTGCTTTGTGATATTGTCTAAAAGTTAATGAAGAACTTTAAAACTGGTGTGTACATATTTTCAAGTTATATACGTAGACTATGCAAATATTTCAAGCAGTGTTTATGAACACCAGTCGGTATCTTAGCTGTTAGCAACGTTGGTCACATATAGTCATAATTTGGTGCCTTTGTGTTGAACCCCCTGTACCATCATTACGGTTTGGAGGGGGGAGGGGGGGGGGGACTCCCATACAAAAATGACTGGGGTGCCCCTCGTACCTTTTAGGGGTTAAAAAACGGTTTTGGTACTTCTTAGGTTTTATCTTTTAGGGAATTGTGTCGAAACAAATAAAACATGAGATATTTGAAAATCAACTTGAAGCAATCATCTTTATCGCTATTAAAAGTAATGAAGGTGTCAGTCAATTTGTTGTTTTAGAGTTGGAACCTCTTAGGGGTTCATTTAAAAATTTCCGACGAGCACCCCCGTCCTTTTTGTATGGAACTCCCCCTCCCCCCCCCGCCGCCCCACACACCATCATATTAGCGGCCAGAAAACCGTAATACTTTGACGACTCTGTTGGTGACCTAAACGTCATTTCTGAAGGTACCTAGATGGTCTTCAAAAAAGTCTTATCTGTTCAATTTTACTTTCGTCCCACTTTCTTACTGTGGGCGGCACAATTTGGCTTTACGGAGAGATCCTTCGCAAGTCCTCTTTCCTCCTAAGGGTATAAAAGGGATGTAAATGGGATACCATGCTGGGAGGTATGCAACCCGTGATAGTTTGAATCCCATCCAGGAGAAGGAAAATCGCTTGTTTATTTGGATTATGAAAACGTCGTTACATGTAAGTTCCTTTGCTTGCGCCAACATTGCATGTACGTCAGCAGCCGATCTTACTTCACTTTGCTTTGTTTTTGCTTCGCTTCTGTTTTGTAGATATTTCTGTCCTCAGAAAGGGGAGAACCAATAGTCGACAGTTTCTGTTGGATTATCTTACAGTGTTCTTGCGTAGTGGGAAACTGTCATTCAACTTGACACTTCAAATTAAGTTATTATTGTGTTTTTCACTTTTTGTGTTTAGTGATCAATTCCTTTTTGCGACTAAGAATAACAATAACAATAGTAATAACACAATTGTATCTTTTGTCCCTTAGTGCCCAGCCACGGGCCAGAAAATGTGTCTTCTACAGAAGTTAACAGCACAACATTTGAGGTAACTTGGGCTGCACTGCCAGAGAGGGTGGCACATGGCGTTATCAAAATGTACCAAGTCAGACTAGTTTTGAAGGAAAATTGTACTTCAGCTCAGTCTGAATTGTATTCAAGATTTAACACAACCTCAACAAGTATGGTCTTAAGTGGTCTATCAATTTGTGCAAGGTATGAAGTGTCTATAAGAGGCTACACTGTGGTGGGACCAGGACCCTACAGCAGACCTATAGTGCTTCAGACTTCCGGTGAGTGAACGAAATGTCTGATTGGATTGTTTGATTTATCACGAATTAAATACGATATCTTTTGCTGTCCTAAACTGATGCAACGTTTATAGTTGTAGTCACCCGATCCACCAATGGTTGTCCTATCCGACTGTTTCTAAGCAAAACAAAATATTCTAGAGTGAAAAGAGCTTTCAGTTATAATCAAAGCATATTAGGATGATTGGCTAGCCTTTCAGCTTGCTTGCTTTTATGAAGTTTACTCTTTGCGTTGCTTATTATTTTCGGTGTGATATCCTTTACGTGCTTTCATATTTTTGGAGAAATGAAAAATTATATTGCAGACTATACAATCTTCTTTCTAAGATCGTCGTCAAACGTTGTATGCATCAAAGATTTTATTGTACTAGATATGTGTTTTAATTAGAAAACAAAAACGAGATTCCTCAGAGCCCCTCGTCAAAAATAAGACCATAGACTATTATTTAGGTTTTAAATCCCAAACTATGTAGCTTTTCTTTGTGTTTCGTCTTTTGCAGAACAGCTAGTTGCTTTTATATAATGTACTCTCCGAGGCTTAAGTTGTTTTAAGGGACCGTTCATTTTTTATGAGGTAGGGGAGGCTGGTGGGATTTGGGGGGGGGG